CCTGACCACCCTGTTGGCCCCACCCAGGGGTGGCTGCAGTTCCCAGAGCCGGGCAGAAGATGCATGCTCTGGCGTTTGCCTCACTCCCTCCCTTGCAGCCCCTCACAACCTGACAGCCTGAGCCCATGCTGTGCAGCTTTTCAAGGTCCCCTTTCCCACTTCTCATTCCCAGGTAACCGCAGAGCCAGGGATCCAGGTTGTTTCCAGTGTCTGCCTTCTCAAAAATGCTGATCCACTGTCCCTTCCCACTGAGGACCCCACATTCTTGTAGGACATCTGGGGGCCTTCCCTGCAGCAACATTCTAAAAAAGGCCACACTCGTGAATTCCAAGGTCATTTTCTGCCTAGAGCTTCTCTCATTAAAGACAATATAACTTCGTTCCTTACAGGACAGTCCTCCTGAGCCCATAGCCCATCTGAATTCTAGGGTGACCACTAAGGTACATATAGACAATCAGAGTAGCACCCATCAGCCGCTGTGCCTGAAATGTCACCATATGTATGTCACAATGTCATTCCCTTGTGTAAAATGCCTTTTCGGGGAGCTTTCTTTAAATGCAAACATATTCCACTCTTTATGCTTCAGTATGAATTAGATTATCATGGGGTCCCCCTGTGACAAGAAAGACTATGACAACCAGACAGCCCAGATTTTCCAGGGACATCCTGATTCTAAATATTAAAATATTTTATTGATATGTGCGTAACCAAAATTTGTACTCCCTTTATGTGAGTCTATTTTTTCAATGAAATTATTTATTACGTGTGTGACTACCTATGGTTTAAATTTTGTAAGTTATTCACACTTAACCTTGTCCCAGGCCCTGAGCTAGAGCTAGGGATACAAGCACAAAGACGCTGGACATTGATTCAAGATGAGGCTCATGGCCACAGGAGAGGACAGGTGGGCAACAACTGTATCCTACAGAAGATAAGTGCTGGAAGAGAGGTTTGACCCAAGCACTTTGGAGCCAGCGAGGTGGGTAACTAACTGCTTGAGGCAAAGGGGAACGTCCCGAAGGACCTCCGGATGTAGCCATATGGAATAGAGGGCCAAGGGCATTCACACAGATGTAACAGCTGTGCAAAAGCCCGGAGGCCAGAGACAGCATCTTGCTTCTGGGGAACGGCAAAGCCCCTGGTGCTGTTAGGGCCAGAGGACAGGGTGCGTGGAGGAGGGGAGGGAGGCAGCAAGACAGGGGCCAGATCACGAAGCGCCTAGCATTTACCAGGCTAGAAAGGAGCTTGTGGGTTTTATCTTGATCGCAATCAAGAGCCCACAGAGGATTTTCTTTCTTTCTTTCGAATATTTTATTGACACACTTACAGAAAGATTCACGTATCTTAAGCGTACGTGTCGATGAATTTTTACAGGAAGTACACCCATGTAAACCGGCATCCCAAGCAAAATACAGAACATTTTCACTACCCAGAGGTACTCCCCAGGCCCCTTCCGGTCATTATGCACTCCCCCCCGCCCCCACCAAGGTTAACCACTTGTCCCGTCTTCCAGCACCATAGGTTCATCTCACCGGGTTTGAACTTGATGAAGGTAGAATCGTACAGTATGAACTCCCTGGTGTCTCTGAGAGTCATTGGAACAGCTGCTATAGCGGTAGCTTGAGCAAAGCGCGTGCGCAGTCTTGGGTCCGGGCGCGTGCGCAGACTCGGGTCCGAGCGCGTGCGGTCACGGGTCCGGACGCATGCGCAGTCTCGGTCTGGGCGCTCTGGCGTAGTGCTGCGGGCCTTCCTGTGCGTATCTTTTGGAGCCCATATGTACACATTTGGGGGAATATTTCAAAGAGTGGAATCTGGCTCAGCTTTAATATGTGGTGCCAAATAGTTTTCCAGAGTGTTCGTAGGTGAAAAGTTTTGAGCAAAGAAAAGGCAGGATGAGGCAACCCGTCTCGGAAAAGGCGGAGTGTGAGGGGCGCAGGGACATCGCAGGGGAGCTGCCCTGAGGCTGGTGGCTGGTGGGTATGGAGCTGGGCAGATTGCCATCTCGGCCGGAGAGGGAGATCAGGGAGTGGTCAGAGCAGGGAGGACAGAGAACGTGTGCTGTGGAGAAGGACTGGGACCAGAGACAGGCCCTGGACACAGCCATGGTGAGGGAGCCGTTGAGACAGAGAAGTCTTCGCAGGCTACCGAGAAGTCATAGCCTAGGAAAGAGGGAAGAGCCAGCCAGGGGAGGGGGACAAATCATAGGCACTAAGGGGAGGGTCTGAGGAAGAAGGGCAGGTCTAGAGCACCGGAGACAGCAAGAGGGCCGCCGATTAGGACCGAACGAGAGGTGTCCACTGAATTTGATGAGAGCGTGCGCGGGACCTGGCAGAGGGCATGGTCAGTGGTGCTGGTGTGCACGCCAGTCTGCACACTGGGCTGCCACACGATGAAGCAGGAGAAATAAGCAACAGGCTTAAAGGGCTCAGCACTGCATCTGGAAGCTTGACATCCGTCCTACTGAACTCATTCCCCCTGGAGGCTGGGTGTCGCCTCCGGCAAGGGGCAGGTGCGGTCTGCTCCTCCCTTTGTCTCCCCTCTCCCCAGCACCCTCCCGAGCTTCAGTAGGAGTTGTCCTCAGGGCCCAGGCTGAGGAGGAGAAGGTGATGGTGCCAAGAGGTTAAGCCTGAAGGGCCAGGCAAATCTCTCAACAGCTCCGTTGTTTATCTGAAGCTTAAAGGTTACTAGAGGGGGTAGAAATGGGAATCCCTTCTTGAGATGAGAATGAGAACAAAGCAAAGCAGCCTGGGTCCCTGTCCAGGTCCTCTCCTTCCTGGGGACACCCTGCCCTTTCCCTTCCCCAGGTGCGGCACTCATGCCAACCCCGGGGGACCTCCCTCCCAGCACTAATGATGACAGCCACAGATGAGCACCGAGCCGGGCCCCGGTGCTAAGTGCTTTCCTCACAGCCTCTCTTTCAGCTTTCAAGGGGATCTGCTGAAGAGAGTGGAGCGTATCATTACCCCCATTTTACAGGCGAGAAAACTGAGACCAGGGGAAGTAAATTCACCTGCCCAAGAATACCGGCCAGGAGGCTGCAGACACTGACTCCAAAGCCTCTGCGTGCTCTAACCCCCACCCAGTCCATCTCTGCACCCAGGCTCTTTGAATCTCGGAGTCATGTTGACCCCCACTCCATCCTCTGGGAAGGCCCAGACCTACCCCTTTCCTCTCCACTTCCTGAAGTAGGAGTTCTGCTGTGCATTCGGGAACAAAAGGGCCACTGTGATAGGGTGGAGTTTTTTACTGGCTGCATGACCTTGGGCAAGTCATTCGGCCTCTTTTCTCTATAAAAAAGTGGGGATAATAATCTAACCTGCCAGGGTGGTGGTGAAGAGAAACTTGAGTTGTACATGAAGGACCAAGTGCAGATGTCTCAGAGTCAACAGTCCATCGGGTTCTGGTCACTCCTTCCTCTGGTTTCCATGTTTGGACCTCCCTCTTCCCTTTCCTGTCAGAGGCTTGGTCGTTTACATGGACAGCTCCAGTGATGGTCTTTGCTGTGTAATCTGAACAAGGGCTCATGTTTGCTTTGGGTAACCCAGAATATCGCCTTGGACCCTGACATTAACATCCCCCAAAACCTTTCAGCCTGAGGGGTTCCTTGCCTGACACTGACAGACCTTACAAAAAAAAAAAAAAAAAATAGGGCTGGAGTGTTGGCTCAGAGCCACTGGACCAGCCTACCGAGCAGGTTAACTGCTGGGGTCCTCATTTGAAATGCACACCTTGACTCAAAGGCTGATGGGCCAGTAGCACCTGACGGGTCTTCATCCAGTGTTCTCTGACTTTTTAATTCAGTGAGGTTCCTCCTGTGGACACATATTCTCACACGCAAGCCCCACTCACACCTATGGTCACAGTCAAGCCCACGGTCACACACACACTCATAGCCAAGAGTATATACTCCGAGGAGTCACCAACTGCCAATTGAGGGGAGGGTGCTGTTGGCAGCCAGCAGGTGGGATGCAGAACTCTGTGACAAGGGAGATGTCATGGTCCTGCCCAAAGGGGTTCTGTGTCAGCACCCCCACTCCAAAAAGGGAGTGATGCTTTCAGGTGGGAGGGGCTTTGATGCTCCTTACAATAGAGTAAGTGGGAGGCACTCACCTTGGAGAGCTGTGACACAAGGCTCAGGTTGGAGAGAGGGATGGGCTGCCTCAGCCATGCTCCTGGGTGCAGGGGTGTGACCTCCATGCTTCGCTTCTCCTGCTGCTGGACAGAACTCCGGTCAGGTGAAGGTTCTCTCAGATGATTCAGGGCCCTGGGGTGCCAGAGTTCTGGAGGTGGATAGGGTGCATAGTGCTAGGGCAGTGGCAAGGAGCCACCCATCCTTGGTCCGCTACATTCTGTGATAGCAACACTCCTGCTGTCCCCTCATTCCTGCTGGCGGCCCTGGTCACCAGCATCCATCCCCACTGGCATCTGTTGAAGGGCACACATTCCCATCTGATCAGACCCATCTTAGATCTGGGCAAAAGGGGCCCCTGCCTGGGCCCTGTGCTCTAGAGGCTCATGCACAGCACAAAGCCTGAAATACAGGTATAGAGATGCAGATAGTAAGAAATTATTTTGGAAGCCCGTTAACTGACTGAGCAAACAAGAAGACCAGAGATGGAAGTCAGAGACAAATTGTCCCCATCTGTGCTGGGCCAGAGGCCCCAGGGCTGAGGTTACATCACTCTGTGAGCATCAAGCCTCCCTGCATCAGACACACTGAAGTGTTAGGAGGTAAGAGTGCATTGGAGAGGCAGAGCCCTCACCCCTCACATATCCAGGTGGGCTCTCAGCTGCCCCCAGCCTGCCCGGACAACCTTGGATCCACATGGCTGGCACCATTAGCCTCACAGCGAGTCTGAGCACCCCTCCAAGGGGTTTGGCACAGTAATTAAATCAGGGCCAGGCGGAGGGGGGGAATTGAGGGCAGGAAGTAAAGCAGTAACTGCAAGGTCCAGAAGGAAAACAGAAGCCCAGAGGCACTCACCTGGGACCTCCCTGGTCAGAGCTCTGGGGACAGCACAGCTGGGACACTGTAGCACTGCGGGTCCTGGCAGCCTGTAGGAGGCAGGGAACTGTAGGACAGCTGAGGAGGCAGGTCCAGGGTGGAGGCAGGGATCACTTCAAAGGTACAGAGCTAAGCTGGAGTAGAAGCCAGGTCTTTTGGTAAGAGGACTCTTCCTACCTCCCCACACCCTGCAGGAGCCATGGAAGCTCCAGGCTCGTGACTTGCTCCCACGTGGCCAGGGCTTTGTTTCTTCGTCACAACATAATGCTGTTAATGAGACCAAGGCACTGAGCCTTGTCCCTAGGCTGGGCTCTCCTCCCCTGACGACAGCTCCTATCCCCAAAAGACAGACACAATCTTAAGAATAATTGGTCAAATTCAGCAGATAGGTTTTCTGACAGTTGGACTGCTTTCATATCCTCTGACTGCCCCCACCCCAACTCTCCAGACCCACGCCAGGAAGCAGGCAGCCCAGAGCTCATCTCAGGTTGACCTATCAGTGGTTTGTGAGCAATTCAAGGGCAGGATTGGACCCCACCCCTCCATGGGTCTGCTGCACCCAGAACAGAGCTTCTCACAGAGGCCTCAACGGCACCTGATGAATGACTGACTGAATGAATGAATGAACCATGTCTGTTTTGCCTGGAATAATATCCCCATACCAATAAGAGAGCACATGTGACATGGCACAGTGCCAGGAGAGACGTGGAGGGTGGATGGATGGATGGTGTGCTGCGCGTCTTCTGTTTGTCCCTCCAGCTCTGCTCACCACATTTCCACATCTGCTCTGTGCCCCAGAGGCTGACCTGAAGGGACTGCATCAACTGGCCGCAGTGCCCTTTGGTTTCTGGTTGGGTCAGTGAAGGGAAGCCCAGCAGGAGATAGAAAGGAAGAGAGAAGAAGGGAAGAAGCTCAGACTGACCTATCTCTTGACAAAGGGAACTGCTCCTCTCAGGTCCTCTCTCCCCAGGTTCTATCAATGTCTCCCTCTCCTCATTCCTTCAGGTTCTAGGTAATATCAACCTTGCTCTTCCTAACTCTAGGACACTAGAGTGGTTTCCCTTCAAACCATACCTCCTCATCTTAATAAATAGTGCCTTTATTAAGCCCACCTTTTTAAAAAAATATTTTATTTATTTATTTTGACAGAAAGAGAGGGAACACAAGCAGGAGGAGTGGGAGAGGGAGAAGCAGGCTTCCCGCTGAGCAGAGAGCCTGACGTGGGGCTCGATCTCAGGACCCTGGGACCATGACCTGAGCCAAAGGCAGACTATTAATGACTGAGCCACCAGGCGCCCCTATTAAGCCCAACTTGAACTCTCCTACTTTAAGTGTAAATCTGTTTTCTACTGGGATTCTGTCTGATAAATGGGTAACTGGTTGGATGGATGGAAGGATGGATGGATGAATGGATGGATGGATGGATGGATGGATGGGTGGATGGAGAGATGGGTGGATAAAACTAGCATAATGGAGTAGTTAAGAGCCCAAGTCTTATAGCCTGGATTTGTATACTAGCTCTACTACTTACTAGATGTGTGAACTTGAACAAGTTATATAATGTCTCTAAGATTTTGTTTTCTCAGCTGTAATATGGGAATAAAAATAGTAACTTACAGAACTGTCATGAGGATCAAATGTGATAATAAATGCAAAGAATTAAGCATCTTGCTTGGCACACCGTAAGTGCCCAGTAAATGGTCACCATTGCTGCTCTGGTTGGCCAGTCAGATGGTAAGATGAAGGCCCACACTGCCTCCCTCAACTTGACCCACGTGAAGTTCATGAATTAGGTCAACACAGGTGGTGTAAAACATCTGTGAGTTCTTTCCTGGGGTTGGGGGAGGCAGACTTCCCTCCCTCCCCTGAGCCTGGCTGTGGAAAGCACTGGTGTTGTTCTCGCTCTTCTCCCAGAGCTGGGTGGGCGGTTATCTGAGGTGGGCAGACAGACAGCTCTGTCTGTCTCCTGCTCGGCGTTCCCGTGGTCTTGCTCCGCTTTCTCTGGCGTGGGAGTGGGGGGCATGGCTGACTACTGGGTGACCTCAATGACTGTAGCAGTTCAGCTCTAGACACAGCAGCCCCTTAGCAAGCTTCCCACCCCCTACCTTTCAGGAGGCCCAGTAAAGTTCAAGAGCCACAGGCCTTTGTGGTGAGGGGCATCTCAGGCTATGAGCCCCCCAGCAAGACTGAGAGGAGTCCCCAGAATCTCCCTCTTTAGAAGCCTAAAATCTTTAGAAGAAGGGAGGAATGGCCCTGTCACCAGGCGGGCAGCCTTCTACTCCACAAGGAGCAGCCCTGAACTCCTGCAAGCCGCCCACCCCCAGCGCAGCCACACTCGCTCCCTCCGGCCCCCACGGTCAGTGAAAGTTCACAGAGGTCCCCTCTGAGTAAAGGGCCACCCCAGGCACTGGGGGCCCAAATGAGGCAGACGAGGTCCCAGCCTTCCAAACGCATGGCACACATCCAGAGATGGTCACAGTGGGAGATGGATGAACTCAAACCCACATTTTTCAGATGTGGACCGTGAGTCCCAGAGAGGGGAGAGACCTGCCCAAGGCCACCTACCACTTTGGGGCAGAGCCTGTTCCAGCCCAGTTTTCCAACTACCAGGCCGGTGTCTTTCCATCGCCTGAGTCAGCGAGAGTTTCAGGAAAGGAGACAAAGTGGGTCATGGCTTGGGGCCAGGGAATTGAGGGGCTTTGGAAAGTGACCTGAGTTCAAAGCCTGGCCCCACGGCTGGCTTGCTGGGAGATGTTGGCAAGTCACCTGATCTCTCTCGGCCTCAATTTCCTCAGCTTTGAAATCAGAGAGTTTCCTCCTGCAAGAATATATAGAGAGAATCTCCGGCTTTGTGCCTGAATAAAATGTGTTAGGTTGAATGTAAGAAACTGTCAGATTTTCAAATGATGGTTTCACTCATAATTATCATTTTTATTGGTCTTAGTGTAATTATTATCAACTGTGTGCTCTTGCACATATCCCTTTCTCTCTCGGTCTCCTCCTCCAAAAAAAGGAAGCTGATAAGCAAAGCACATTGCATAAGCCCTGGAACATAGTAGGTGCTCCCTGGAGCTTGGTCTCCTCGACGTCTTCCCCTCCTCATGCAGTCACGTCCTCTGTGGGAGGTCACAGGGGAACCTGTCCTCCCTGCTGAGTACCACGGCCCCGTGAGGGTGAGGATGAGATCGTGACTGAGAGAGGGGGGAAGAGTAAGGAGCTGGCTTCTAAAATCATTTTCACGGGGAAATGGGAAAAGTTAAAAGAAAAACTTACCAGGTCATGTTTTCAAACACCTGACACCGTGCAACCCTATGAAGCCGTGCCTGGGACTTCAGGCGTCAGGGACAGGAGACCAGAGCACTGCGGGTAGAAACTCCCTCCTCCACTCCCCGCCTCCTCCCTGAGCAGGATTTAGCAAGACAGTTCAGTGTGTTCTGGGTCATAGCTGAGCAAATCGCCAGAATGTCCTTTGGGCAGCTGGAGGCCACCTGGAGCCATAGCAGAACTGAAGATTCCAGATCTGGGAAGGCCCCTCGTCTCTGAGTTCAGCCTCCTGCCTCTAAATGGGTGGCTGTCAGACCCTGAGGGCAGAGGCTGCCCCCCAAGGATAGAGACGCCACCCCAACTCTCATCCCCTGTAGGGCTTTCCCTCATGCCAGCCAGGAAGCCTCCCTTTTGTCCAGCCTCAGCCCTTCCTCCCTTGACCCATCAATCAATAGCCCTTGGTCGCATCTCCATGTGCTGGCCCAGGGGACGCAGGGACCACCAGAGCATCCCTTCCCTGTCCACTCCCCAGTCTGCGTCACTGGGTCAAGCACACAACTTCTCTACCAGCCTGGACACAGGCTAAGGCTAGACCCAGGTGAGGCAGGACCCAAGTGACACGGAGCATGTGGCAAGCACTCCCTAAACAGTTGCTCAGTGTTAAATGAATGGATGAACAAATGAGTGAACAGCCAGGCTCTACAGAAGCATTTTCAGGAACCAGGCTCACTGCTTCCCAGGTAGCCCGTTCCCCTGAAGGAAACAGGCTCGAAGTGGTAGGCCCGAGCCAAGGCAGGCATGGCCGGCCACCCAGGTCTCCTTCCGCCCCCGGGGAGGCGCTATCCACTGGAGAGGCCACAAACCTTCCCACACATGCCTGGGCTTCAAACCAGGAACTGGGGGATCCCCAGGTCTGGAAAATCCCTCGTGCCTGGTGCTAGATTTTCCCATCCCGCCCCACCTCCCCCACAGGCCTGGACATTCTCAGCACCATTTCTTGGAAGGAGCTACTGGCTTATGATGAGAAGTTCTGGAATTCACTACAGGAAGTGGCCATCTGAACAATGGGAAGAGAGCCCTGACTCAGAGCCAAGAGCTTCAGGCTCTGATGCCCACTCCAGCAACTACAGATGTAGGATGCGGGATCGGATGGACCTGGGTTCAACTCCAGCCCTCCCGCTTAGGAGCTGTCCGATTCCTGGCAAGCCATTCCCCTCACTGAGCCCTGGTTTCCTCTTTTTAAGAAGGGATTATAGTATCTGCCTCAGCAGATTCCTCTGAGGATTATGTGAGGAACCAGATATTCAGCTGGCATGCAAAGATTCTAACTTACTGCTTGGTAAGTCGCTGGTGCTCAGAGCCCCCTGAGTGCCCCTTCCATCCAACACATCACCACGCCCAGCACAATTCAGCAATGGAAGGGTTAACTTCTAGCTCCCTAGAGGATCTCCGGTGACCCTTCTGATCAGTTGGTGCCCATATTAAACTAAGGGGTATGAGAAAATGCTTTATAAACTGCCGGGTGCTGGCTATCCCCTAGATCCACACCTTCATCCCAGATCCGTCTCCTGATCGTGGATAGTCCGCCCTGCCTCCTGGACCCCCATCTGGATGGCCCGTGGGCATGGCATGCTCTCCACTCCCAGACTAAACTGGGTCCCGTTAAACCCAGTGCAGAGACTGGCCTCACCTCTGCCCAGCTGCTCTGCATCGCTTCCATACCCAGTCTGTCCCTGTCTGATGATTCTGTATTCCCTAAGTCCCCCAGATCCATCCCTCCTTCCTGCCCCACCCACCTCCTGCCCGCCTCAGTCCTCTGCTGAATCAGAACAGCCTCCTCACTGGCCTCTGCACGTGGACCGCACCCCCCCTGACATTTCATTCTCACGCATTGACATCCCTCAGTGATGGCTGTCACAGGTCGGGTTCCTGGGGAAGGAGATTCTGGCATGAATATGGGCTGACAGGAGGCTTATTGGGGATTGAGCTCAAGATCAACACTGTGGGGGAATGACCTAAGCAGGACTGGGCAGAGGGACAAGTTGGGCTGTGAGGCAGACCCCACCTAGGCCTCAGCCACCCTCTCAGGGAGCTCTGCAGTTGGAATGAATTTTCACAGTTGGGCCAAATTGAGGCATGGGCTCTGGGCAGTAGACCCCCCTATGGACCAGTCAGTAGATACGGGCCGGTCCCAGGAAGGGGAGTGCCATTAGATGAGGAGGGTCCCTTCTGCCTAAGGCAATGGCAGGGAGGAGAGTCTCAGCCCGCAAGCTGTCAGCCATCAGTGGGATGGCGGCTCCAGTCTGAGGGGGGAGGCGTGGGCATCTGAGCAGTGTACACGGTGCCCACTAAAGGTGCTCTGGGTAGAGTAGATCTTCAGGAATGTTTGTTGCATGATGAAAAGAATAACCCTCCATTGCCTTCAAGATGAATTTTGAATGTCTTAATCGGCACACAAGGCCCCTCATGATCTGCCCCAGACAACCCCTCCACTGGGCTCTCATCTCCCCCCTCCCCGCTCACTCTCCACTCTCTTCCCATATTGTGCTTCTCGCAGTTTCCCAAGCCCCACATGCCATTTCACACCTCTGCTTTCACACACGTTACTTCATCTGCCTGCAATGCCTTTAAATGGAAGAAGAAATCCTCCTCTCCTCTTCCAGCCCCTCCCTGCTCCTCTAGTGAGACTCTAGCCAAGCTCTACCTCCCCCCCGGGAAAACTTCTACTCATTCCTCCGCACATGCTGCTCCCACCATGTCCAAGGGCGCTGAGATCCTCATCCAGGCCCAGATCCAGGGCCCTCGGCAGCCCAAGACGCGCTGTGGAGCCGGAGTAGGAGAGTCTTAGGAAGGGCAGGCAGAGAGAAGAAACAGAAAGTGAAGAGCCCAGGGGCGTGAGTGGGGTAGGGCTTCACGGTGTCTCATACTGTCCAACATGACTGTCCTTGTCATCCTTCTCCCCCCACCGCCATCACCACCATCAGCATGGTGTCGGCAAGACCACACTGTTGAGTGCTTACTACATCCCGGGCCCTAGGCCAAGGCTTTGGCAGGCACACTCGCTTTAACCCGGGTTTATACTCACTATTAATAACCCCCAACAGTAGGTACTATTATTAAGTTCAGGAAGGTTAACAGCTCTGTCCAAGGTCAAACAGCTGGTTAATGGTCTGTCTGGCCCAAGGACTATTCACCTCACCAGCAGGCAGCTGGCCACACTGATCTCATCCCTTCCTGCCCCTCCCGTCCCCGTCCCCGTCCCTGTCCCCGTCACTGTCTGCGGGAACTTTTTTCCTAAATGAAAGGACAGCCCGCTGAGATGTAGGGTGGGCCCAGCTGCAGCTCCAAGAGACTGGGGAGGGGTCTTGGGAGACGGTGGGGGAGCACACTCAGAATCACATCTGCCCTTCTAGATCAGACCAAGATGGGGTTTGATTCAGCTCCGGCCGTGAGTGCTGCTTGGAGACCCGGTCCCCTCCTCTTGTCTGCAAAAAACGGCATCTGAAGCCCTGAGGGAAAGAGCCCCGTTGAGAGTCACACTGTGTGTCAGGGGCCAGCCAGGTTACAGCCTGGACTCCGGGCTCCCAGACCGGGCCACCTTCAAGGGGGAATTTGACGAGGGGAGCCTGGGTGGCTCAGTTGTTAAGCATCTGCCTTCAGCTCAGGTCATGATCCTGGGGTCCTGGGATTGAGTCCCACATTGGGCTCCCTGCTCAGCGGGGAGTCTGCTTCTCCCTCTCCCTCTGCTTGCAGCTCTGTCTACTTGTGCTCTCCTCTGTCAAATAAATAAATAAAATCTTTACAAAGGCAGGGGGAGGAGAATTTGAGGGTACAGAGAAGAACCCCTCCTCACCCACACAAAGGCCTACCTCCCCAGGCTGCAGAGATGCCTGGAATCCCTCTAGGGTGATGAGCCTCCTGACCCTTGACCCAGGCCCAAAGTCTCCACCCCAGCTGGAAGCCAGCCGCCCAGCTCCCTCGCTCCGGGTATACACAAGCAGCCAGACTTTGGGGGTGAGGAAACCCCAAATGTGGTCGTGACAGGGACAGATGGACAAATAAGAGGCAACACAACCTAGTGAGAGGATTTAACCAAACTGGTTTTAATCAGGCTCCAAGTGTGACTGATCATGTGAACTCTGGGAGGATATCTGATTGCTGTGGGCCTCAGTTTTCTCATCTACAAAATGGGAATGAGACTTCCTTTCGGCAAGGTTGTTATGGGGATTCGACAAGACAGATATTGAGAACATTTGATGAGGCAACAGGCCTGGTGCCCAGAAGATGTAGGTAGGTGGCAGTTGGATTATAACTGAATCTGGGGTCAGACAGAGCCAGTAGATTTGTCCACATTTCTCCAGTCCTGGCTGGACAACACAGACAACACGGAAACTTCTTGGCCTGACACCTAGGACTCCTACCCTGCCTCTTCACCTCTGCTCCCTCATGCCTTGCTCCAGCAGTTCCAGAATTCTCTGTCATATCATTAGATTTTACTGAAAGTACATGTTTGCTTTCTGGTCTGTCTCCCCAACTTGGCAATGATCCCCTAGAGGACCAAGACTGTTTCTGGCTCTTCTGTGTCCCTGGAAGCCAGCACAAGAACTTGCTAGGGTGCCCAATGCCCGGGATCCGTTGAAGCGGAGTTTTGTAGCCTCAGAAGACAGACTGACCCCAGTGGTTGGGGGATGGAGGAAGGCAGATACCATGTGAGGATGGCCTTTCTGCTAGAACTCTCCAAAGGCAGAAGGGAGTTGCAGATGTGGTGAGTTTCCTGGGAGCATTCAAGCAGAACCTGGGTGGATATTTGGCAGTGGTGTGATCACCAAGGACCAACTGGATCCATAGAATCTCTGAGCCTGGGGAGAAGGTCTGAGTTGGAAAGCCAGTCAGAGGCCCTCAAGCCCAGACTCCTCAAAAGACAGATGGGGAGACTGAGGCCCCTAGGTACCCAAGGTGAGCCAATGCTACATCCAGGCAGAGGAGCAGGTCTCCTGGCTCTGCAGAGAGAGGGTGGGTACGGTTACACCCATTTTACAAAAGAGGAGAGTGAGGCCCAGAAGGGGGCAGAAATTTGCGGAAGTCACCAAGAGAGTGTGTGATAGACCGCATCCATCTCTCTGGCTTCAGGGCTCTGCCATGGCTGTCTGGACTGAAAGGTTTTTGGCCGGAGGAGAAGGAGCCAGAAGGCTGATCCCCACCCTTAGCAAGGCTGGAATAAGTCATATTTCCTGGGCCATGGGGCAATGTCTTCTGGCTAGAAAAGCTACCACATACTCCCGGCCCAGCTCCATTGGCTCAAACACCAAAACTCCAGGAGGGGAGGCCTGCAAGGCACTCATTACCTGTCCACAGAGAGTCTGAGGAGGAAACGGGCTCAGAATGGAGAGTGGCTGTTCTGGGAGCTCACCACAACAGGAGCCTGGCCAGATGGGCCTTGACCCCAAGCCCGGTCTCTCTCAGGAGAGAGACAGAGACAGACACCATTACAGAGGGGAGATTATGCTGACCTGGGAAAGTCAGACAGGAGGGGGGCAGGCCTGCCTCTCAACAGGCGGGAGGCCTTTGAGAGCTGGGAGAGGAAACAGCTCAGATGTGCACATCCCTCAGCTGGGCTCCCATTAGACCCCCTGCTGTCCCCTCAGGAACCCCCTGCCACCGCCAGCACCCATCCTCCCAGTTGTGGCATTCATTGGCCCTATCCTGTCTCTACAGCATCAAACAACCCTAACTCGACATGGTCTCTCATGACTCCGTGCTTTCCACATGCTGTTCCCCGCCTGGAAAACTGTTCCCTCCCTTGTCCCTCTAAGTCTCACTCATCTTTTACTCCTTCAGCTGAGGCTTCCCTGAGAGGCTTCCCTGGCCCTCCAACCCAGCCCCTCCTGACGTGGATCAGATGCCACCTGCTCTAGCTTCCCCCAGCCCACGTGGCTCCTTCCCTCTGTCACAGCACAGGTCACACCATGGTCACTGTTTGTGTCTGCCACCCCCAAAAGACTGGAACAGAAGCCTCTAGAAAACAGGGTTGGGCTCTGATTTAGGCAACATCGTCAGATGCAGCAAAGAGCTGACCACAAAGGATCAACTCATTCATTCATTCCACAAATAATGACCAAACTCTGGCCATGTGCCAGGAACGGTTCCACGTGCCGGAGACAGAACAGGAACAAAACAGACAAAATTCCTGCTGCAGGATCATCACTGTAGCGGGGAGTGGTGGTAGGAGGTAAACAGTAGTGAAAATGTAATAGTCCAAGCAAGTTTGGATGGTGACAGGCTCTGTGAAGAAGGTAACACCGTGCTTCTCGAACCAGGAACTGCAGAGAGGACGGTGGGTACCAGCACAGTGGCCGGAGGGAGGTAAATTCCAGACCCGCTCACCTGTAGGTCCGTCTGTTGCATTTTCTCTCACGGGCTGCCAGGCGCTGGGGGAAGCAGGCATGTAGGAAGGAAGGCTTGGGGGCCCCTTGGAAGTGCCAGACGTCTCTCCCACCCACAGACACACTTCCTGGCTCTCCAGGAATTTGATTCAGCAACAGTTACTGAGCAGTTAGTTATGAAACAGTCACAATGGCTGCCATTTATTGCAGGCCTGGAGAGTTCCAGGGGCAGAGATGGCCTCCCTCTCTCCTGGAGCCTCTCAACAGCTAGTCCCTGACTTGTCCAGGGTCACACAGCTGATTTGTCCAGGGTCACACAGCCAGTCCCTGACCCGGCTGGGATTTGGGCTTCGATCTGGTGACACCAGGCTCCATGTACTTCCCACCACAGCCCACAGCCCCCCAAGCAAGGGGTCCCCCTGATGGAAAGAGCCAGGGCCTGAGTCTGGATTCCAAGGTCCTAGTCTCAGCATGGGGTTGCTGAGTTAGGAGGAGCCTCTTAACTCCTTTGGGCCTCAGTTTCTCTTCATGTCAACAGGAGCCCATTAGCCCAGCTCACCTGAGAGTCTTGCTATGAGTATCAGATGAGCTTCATTGTGCCAGTATTTTAGGAAATACCACCACAACGCAACAGTCAACCCCTCCTCCCCGAGGGCCTCCTGAGCCACCCTCCCTATCCTTCCAACCCGGCCCTGGTGTTGGGGCCTAAGCCAAGCTAGCCACCAACTTACAGCAGGTTTGCTGCTGAGCTTAGGCAGAGGCAAAAGCCTCGGGGAACCCTGATGACCTCACAGCCTGTCAGACAGAAAGCCAGTGTCAAAGCCAAGGGCAGTGCTGAGAGTAGGACTGCCAATCTGGGGAAAGATGAGTGCCAGGTCAAGGGTCAGGGGTCCTGCAGGTTCATGCTGAGGCATGATGACTCAGTAACATCCCAATTCCACCCCCCCCCCCGCCCCGCTGAGAGAGCCAGCTGCTGTCCCCATGCTAAGAGGGGGGGGGCGCAACACCAGCATTTGCTAAGGACCTACTATGTGCTGGTGCTTTCTCAGGCATTACCTCATTTAATCTACTTTGAAGCACAGAAAGGTTAAGGGGCTATGCTCCATGATGCATAAGGAGAATATTAGTTTACTAAGGGCTGCCATAACCAAGCCCATTATAAGCTTCAGCTAAGTCATTAACTTTTTTTATTTACTGGAGCCACTCCCGCAGGTGCCAGGAGCACAAAAACTAACCTCAAGTCCCAGTGCTGCCTCTTCTTCACTGTGTGACCTTGGACAACTGCTTCCTGTCTCTGAGCCTCCGTCTGTAACATGAGGGCACAAGCCCCCCTCCCAGGGTCATTGTGTTGTGAGATCCAGGTGGCCACAGCATGAACCCTGAGAAATACTCTACACGTGTTTAATTCCTATGACTGCCACCAGAAAATTAAAA